GAATTAGTCATATGTAACGATCATTATACAATTCTGTAGGAGTAAATCATTTCATGAAGCTCATGTTGGGGAATTTTAGTCTCCCCCTACTACTATCTCCACAACTCGAAAAGCAACACACAATCAATAAGATAGAAAACAACCGCAATCAAGAAGAAATAACACCGAGATTTACGTGGTTCAGTCGACCAATTTCGACCCACATCCATGGGGTAACAATACGAGAAATCCACTATGTATTAGGGAGAATTCCAAGAGGAACCGCTCAACTGTCGTCTCTCAATCTCTCAATCTCACATATATAATCAACTCTCATATTCTCTCTAAAACCCACTCATTACAATCTTTTGAACGAATAAAGACTGCGGAACACTCTCCCAATGTTGTAATCTTTTGCACGGATAGAGACCACAAAACCCTCGCCGCTTGCACAATATTCTTGAATCAGGCTACGCCCTCTGCTAACACTGGATTATAAGAATATTGGCTCTCTCCCTTCTTTTTACACTGTATTTAGATTTTTCCTCCAACAATAGAAGAATATACATAGGGAAACCAAAACCCTATCTCTAGCCTAACTTCCTAACTAGAATAGTTTTTAAAATCCTAATCATGATGAGACCTAATATCCTAATCATGATAGATCTCTAACCCTATCTAATTCTCATGAAGTTATACAAAGAATCAAAGACACAATCCCAACAACTCATGTGTCAGTTTACGTAGTCCAAGCTTAACCTGAAACCAATGGACTTAAGAATCCAGTGGTGTCAATTTGCAACAATAGAAATACTAGGAGTCTACCGCAATAAGTGCTACCTTTTTTACACTAAACCCCAAGAGCTTTCAGCATTTTGCAGTAAACCCCAATAACTTTCAAAATAGCACTAAATTCCTGATAACTTTTGCAGAGAACCCCCACTATCTTTTGGGTAAATGGCATTAAACCGCTAATAACTTTCAAAATGGCCTTTTATGTTGTTTTCCCTGTTCGAATTTATGCGGGCCGTCTGCTAACATGAGGAAACTTATTGGGGGTCTTCTGCAATTCCAAAAGCTATTGGGGGGTCTATTGTGATTTTCAAAGTTTTTGGGGGTTTACTGCAAACTGCTGAAAGCTCTTGGGGCTTTAGTGTAATTTACCCTATCTATCAAATGCTATTACTATTAGCATCATGGCATGGTTCTAATATTTGTATGCTTATTCTAGATGCCATTCTTTCATTTTACATGCCTCTTCCCTTGAGGTCATCTGTTAGAAAAAAGGCTGAAAATGTCTTGAACCTCTTGTAATGCCCAGGGTCCAAGCAATCCTTATTCTCTCAATCTTTGAGAACCTCTACCATATTTTCTACTCATGAAATTATAATAAACTATAGATTAGCTGGCCTGTGCATGAAATTGAACCAGAAATACAAAAGCCTCACAAGAATCACCCAAGATTGAAGCAAAATAAACCTACAAGCTATGCCTCACATGGATTATTCTCTTCCTCTCCTTCAAGATTTCCCACAATCATCTCCTCTATATATTATCACATCATTTTCACCAAGGCTTAGTCTCTGTATTCTTGCTGTCACATTGTTCTTCATAGCTCTAGTCGAAGCGCAATGGCCATCACTTATGGTGATTTCTACCCCAAGAAGTTCAAAAACACCGATGTCAGCAGCGGAGTCGCTATCTTCCTTGTTGTCTTCTCCATTCTCTGCGGCCTTATTGCTTTCATATTGTGTCTTGCAGCAGAGGGCTCCAGGTCTGAGGTAGGACTGTTTGGACGATAAAATCAAGTTTTTTAAAAATCTGACAATATCCACTTTCTACAAACTTTCAAATTTTCTGAAATCTTTTATTTTTATTTTTATTTTGTTTGGTTGGATTGAGATGTTAGACGCTAACTCTAATGAGAAATCCTCTAGAAAAGACTGGATTTCTGACATGAAATTTTGCTGATGTAAAATGAAATTAAATCACAACCGATTCTTCATGGCACTTCCTCATAAACCAAACAAAAGGTTTGGAAAGAGAATTTGGATCCGAAAAAAATTCTTATTATGGGATCCACTTTCAAAAAAAGTCGTCCTCTCTACTTAATCTTATATAAGGATACATGGGATTAAAACACGTGAACTAACATGAATTTTGATGTACACGTTACTATTAACTATCAGTATAGTCAAACTGTTTGTCAATACAGACTACATTGATAGTAACTAGAGTAATATGTAGTACTAAGTGCGTTGACGCCTTGTGTTGATGTATGGATCAAGATTTGTGCTAAACCAGATCGCCTCCATCTCCCTATATGATTTTCCGCAGAGGGCCTAGAACAGGAATATTTCCCCTATTCATAGGAGCAAACCGCCAATATTTTCATTGAAAACGTTTCATCCGCGAATCAAAAACCTATGTTTCTCTTGGCAGGTAACAAGGTTGCTTACAAGCACGCCTAGCAGCAAAGACAACAGTTGCTACTACAGCAACAGCGGCAAGAAACCTCTAGCCTGCGCTATCGCTGCATTCGTCTTGCTCGCCATAGCAATGTTCTCAGAGCACGGTTACATGCTCATCGCTGTCGCTAACCCCCAGCCTCCAGTGTTGGTGGCCTGGGCCACTCCACAGGATCCAATAGCAGCAGCAACGGTAACGAGAACCAGAGATCTCACTTGGCAAATCTGCTGCCTTTTTCTCACAACCTGGTAGGTGAAATAATACACACAGTTAGCTCTACCTATATCTTGCAGATATAATGAGTGTGTGTATGGAAAGAGTTTGCTTCTGTTGAGGATAAACTAAGAGGGAATCGCTTGACTTGGTTAGCTCATGTGTCAAAGGTCATTAAATACATCGGCAAAAATAAACCCTTGCAGTACCACCTCTCTAGTTTTATTTTTGTGGATGAACACCTTGTAATCAGGGGGTCTATCTGCAAAAATAAAACTAGAGGTATGGTAAGAACAATGACACAACAAGGGATTTATCATTCATCTGTAATCAACCGTGTAACTAATAGAAAAGGAAGAGTAGATATATGCTTTAGAGAACACGATTGAAAAGAGTTAAGAAGAATATGACAATAATTAACATAGAGGATTAGCTAGTCCCCAACGAAAGTGAATGGAAAAATAGAATTCATGTAGCTGGCCTAAAAAATGAGATAAAAGCTTTGTTGTTGTTGCTGCTGCTGCTGCTGCTGCTGTTTGTTGTTGCATCTTGCAGATATTGAACATTTACCTTGGTAACAGGATATCCTTTGCACTTGCTGAGGTGTTTCTCATGATCGGGATGGGAGTCGAGTCTGGTCACCTGAGCAACTGGAGAAGTCCAAGACCCAACTGCAACGCGGTCAGGCCTGGGCTTTTTGCAGTCGCTGGAATCTTTGGACTCATCACTGTCTTCCTCGGTCTTGGCCTTTATCTCACTGCATTGAGAACTCAGAGATTGCATCTCGAGAAGGAAAATGCGGCTCGTGGAACAATCCCAAATCCTCTGTAACGAGGGGGGAAATCATACTAGAGGGACATCTATATAATGTAAAAGATTTTCCTGAGGAGAAAAAATATGACTATTTCCATCAGTGTATTCGACGTAAAATAGTTTCAAACTGGTTAGCAATCCAACATAATGTAAAAACCTCTCTGGTCTCTCTCTCTCTCTCTCTCTCTCTCTCTCTCTCTCTCTCTCTTTTTGACAAATAATCACCATGCCACTCTAAACATGATTTTTTTTTGACAAATAATCACCATGACATCTATATAATAAAATCATGATTTTTTTCCTCCAAGACACTAGGATCACCAAGAATGCTTACTTTAAAATAGTAGCATTGTTTATCACCTGGATGCTATCGATCTGCTCGGTGTTTTTCCTTCCATGGCGTCCTTCTTCGTTCCGCATGACTCAAAGTGCAGAGCTAAGGATCTTTCCATGGCATCATTGCTGGTGAGTAGCTTGGTACTTTATCGGTTCGGCAGATTGCACATCGGTTAGGCGATGAATTTGCCTTTGACAACCTGCTGCATGGAGATTTGAGAGGTTCACACGGTCATTTCTTTGGCAAAGTAAATTCTGATGGAATTTGAAGAACACAACACTCTACACAAAGGAAACTTTTATTGATAGAACACTTGAGAATACAACACTTGTTCTTACAAGAACACCTCACTTTCACACAATTCCTTTATTTTGGTGGACACTCACACAAGGCTACACTACACACTCAAGCTCTCAAGCTCACTTCTTGCTTGCTTGCTTGCTTGCTTAAATGAGAGCACAAGACCCCTATTTATAGTTGTTTAAGAGGGCTAGGAAGTGTGTAGAAGAGTTAATCCTAGCCATACATTACTAAGAAGTTTCTAGAAGAATAAATACTAGCCATACACTTGTATCTTCCTAGAAACTTCATGGTAGATATTTTGTAGGATGTTACTAGAAAGAAGTTCTAGAAAGTTGTTCTAGAATAATCTAAGTTGGTGAGGAATTCTAATACTCCCCCTCATCACCAACTTTCATTTCTCTCAAGTCCAAGCTTCTTCTTAAGCTTCAAAAATGTCTCTGTCTTTAGTGGCTTGGTGAAGATGTCAGCGATTTGGTCTTCAGACTTGCAATATGACAGCATCACAGTCTTCTTTTTAACTTGATGTCGGATGAAATGATATCTTGTCTCTATGTGTTTGCTTCGTCCATGTGCTACCGGATTTTTGGCAAGTGCAATAGCTGACTTGTTGTCGATGAGAATCTCTGTCGGTGCTTCTTGTTGGTGTTGCAATTCCTTCATCAGACTCCTGAGCCATATTGCTTGACACGCACATGTCGATGCTGCTATGTATTCTGCTTCGCAACTTGATAGAGCGACGACAGACTGCTTCTTTGATGACCATGAGAATGTTGCTGATCCGATATTGAACATGTAGCCAGATGTGCTCTTTCTTTCATCTAAATCTCCACCATAATCGCTGTCGGTGTAGCCGACTAATCTTGAATCTGCACACTGTGTATAAAATAATCCTTGATCAATACTTCCTCGGACATACCTAAGAATTCTCTTGGCTGCTTTGAAATGCTCCTGTCTTGGCTCCTCCATATATCTGCTCACCAGTCCTACCGCGAACACTATGTCGGGCCTGGTGATGGTTAGGTAGCGCAAGCTCCCGACTAAACTCTTGTATAGAGTTGGATCAATATAGCTTCCTGGTGTGTCTCGCCTCAGCTTCACTCCGACTTCTGCAGGAGTTGCGACTGGATTGCAGTTGCTCATGTTGAACTTCTGAAGGATATCCTTTGCATACTTCTTCTGAGAGATGAAGATTCCTTTCTCTGATTGCGACACTTCTACTCCAAGAAAGTATGACATTTCTCCAATGTCAGTCATCTCGAACTCCTTGATCATATTCTTTTTGAACTCCTCGAACATTTTCGGATTGTTGCCGGTGAAGATCATGTCGTCCACGTAGAGACATACGATCATGATGTCTTCATCCTTCTTCTTGGTATAGAGAGAGTGCTCATACGGGCTCCGATGGAATCCGTTCTTCTGGAAGTATGCATCGATTCTGGCATTCCATGCTCTGGGCGCTTGCTTCAGTCCATACAATGCCTTCTTCAGCTTGTAGACTTTGTCTTCTTGATTCTTCACCTCGTACCCTGGTGGTTGCTTGATGTAGACTTCTTCTTCTAAGTAGCCGTTCAGGAATGCAGACTTCACGTCCATCTGGTAGATCTTCCACCGGTTCTGTGCTGCCAATGCGATAATGAGTCGGATGGTGTCGATCCTCGCGACTGGTGCGAACACTTCTTCATAGTCAACTCCTTCTCGCTGACTATAGCCTTTTGCAACAAGCCTGGCCTTGTACTTCTCGATTCCGCCATCTTGATTTGTCTTTGTCTTGTACACCCACTTTACTCCGATTGGTTTATGGCCTTCAGGTAAGGTAGTGAGCTCCCATGTGTCATTTCTCTTGATTGCCTCGATCTCGTCATCCATGGCTTTTCTCCACTTATCTTCTTGAGCAGCTTCTTCATAGCTGACCGGATCACATTCTGCAAACAAGCAGAATAGTGTGTAGTCATCCATCATCTCGACAGGCTCTGTATCGTCGTACAGATCTCTTAGGCTTCTCATCCTCCTTGTTGCTCCCCCTGAAGAGCTTCCTTCACTTGAGCTGGATGATGTCGGCGTTGATGTTGGGGTTGATGGAGCTGGACTATTAGGTGGACTTTGTTCTGGTCTTCCAACCTCCTGCAAGTCATCATCATTATCTTCAAAGAACATACCTTTAATATTTTTATCTTCATCGGTCCATTTCCAATAATCTTCTTCATCGAACTCCACGTCTCTTGAAATGATCATCTTCTTTGTAACTGGATTGTAGAGCTTGTATGCTTTTGTCCTCCTCTCGTACCCAACGAATATGCACTTTTCTCCTCGATCGTCCAACTTCTTTCTTTTCTGCTCCGGGATGTGTGCATATGCAATACACCCAAACACCTTCAGGTGGTTGACACTTGGCTTGATGTTGCTCCACATCTCCAATGGTGTCTTGAACTTGACGCTCTTTGTCGGACATCTGTTGAGGAGGTAAACTGCACAGTCCACGGCTTCAGCCCAGTAAGTCTTTGGCAGGTACTTGCTCTTCAACATGCTTCTGACCATATCAAGAATGGTACGATTCTTCCGCTCTGCTATGCCATTCTGCTGTGGTGTGTAGGCGGCAGTGAGTTGATGAATTATCCCGTACTGCTTGTTGAAATTGTTGAATGCCTTCGAAGTGTATTCTCCACCTCGATCTGATCGGAGCACTTTGATGTGGTACCCACTTTGCTTTTCTACCATCTCCTTGAATTCTTTGAATTTCTCCAGAGCTTCGGATTTCTCCTTCAGGAAATAAACCCAAGTTTTTCTGCTATAATCATCAATAAATGTGAGAAAATACCTGTTTCCTCCAAGAGAGATGACTTCAAATGGTCCTGCAATATCTGTGTGGACCAATTGTAGCAACTCTGTTGCTCTTCTTGACTTTCCAACTTCGAAACTTCTTCTATGTTGTTTGCCCTTCATACAGCCTTCACATAGCTGGTTCGGATGGTTGATTTGCGGCAATCCTTTTACCATTTTCTCCTTCCATAGAAGATTCAGGCCACTGAAAGCGAGATGCCCGAATCGTAGATGCCAGAGCCAAGTCTCGTCTTTTATGATTGACTTCAAGCACTTGACAGGGTCAGCATGAATATTTAAGGTAAACAGTCTATTTCTAGACATGTTCACCTTTGCAATAACTTCATTTTTATTTTTAATAGTGAGGGCAAGGTCTTTTAGATGTATATCATAGCCTCTTTCAAGGAGCTGGCCTAGGCTCAAAATATTATTTCGTAATGCTGGAACATAGTAGACATCAGAGATGTACCTGTTCTCGCCCGTCTTTGTCTGGATCATTATATTGCCCTTGCCTTTCACTGGAATCTTTGACTGATCTCCAAAGGTGACATCTCCTTGTACCGTCTCGTTCAGCTCGGTAAAAAACTCCTTGATGCCGCACATGTGGTTACTGGCACCTGAATCTAGATACCAGATATCTTTATTCTTGCTTTCGCTCTCCTGGTACGTCAACAGGACTGTTGAAGTGTCTGCCTGCTCCCTTTCTACAAAGTTGCTTCTTTCTGCCACTTGATTTGATTTCTCCCAACATTCGTAGCTGAGATGACCGTATCTCTTACATTTGTAACACTGTGGCTGAGATCTGTCCTCATGGTAACTTCTTCCTTGTCCTCGTCCTCGTGTGCCACGACCTCGTCCTCGATCGAATGATCGTTCACGATCTCTATTTCGATCTTGATTTTCATGGCCTCCTTGGTACTGTCTCCTACGACCTTGCTGGAAGTTTGAGCCACCTCGAAATGAGCCTCTGCCTCTGTAGCCTCCACGTCCTCTTCGACTATCTTCTTTGATAGTCATCTTACTCTGCAAGGCTTGTTCTAGATTCTCCGCTTGATTTGAACTAATGTTTATATCTTGTTCATAAGCTTGCAGAGAACCTTGCAGCTCATCAATAGATACTTCGGAAAGATCTTTAGACTCTTGTATTGCCGGAATAATATATTTGAATTTAGAGTCTAAAGTCCTAAGTATCTTCTCCATAATTCTTACATCATTAATTGCTTCTCCATTTCTCTTCATTTGATTTGTTATTGTCTGAACTCTACTAAAATAATCCGATATTGATTCTGTAGCTTTCATCTTCAAATTTTCAAATTCAACTCTTAATGCTTGGAGGCGTACCTTTTTGGCTCTTTCCGCACCTTGATAGGATTTTTGTAAAATCTCCCATGCTTCTTTAGAGGACAGGGCATTGGAAATCTTCTCAAACGCAGATTCATCTACGCCTTGGAATATTAGGAACAAAGCTTTTTTGTCTCTTTTTCTGACCTCCTTCAACTCACTCTTCTGAGTGGCGGTGAGAGTTGCTTCTGCTGCAGGTGACTCCGGTTCAGTGTAGCCATTCTCTACGAGATCCCACAAGTCTTGCGAGCCGAGCAAGACTTTCATCTGGATACTCCAGTTGTCGTAATTGGTCTTCATCAGCTTCGGAATCTGTGGCTGGGTCATGTTCGCCATCTCGTACACGAGCACCTTCGATTGGCCCGGCTAGATCGAACTTTGCTCTGATACCACTTTGATGGAATTTGAAGAACACAACACTCTACACAAAGGAAACTTTTATTGATAGAACACTTGAGAATACAACACTTGTTCTTACAAGAACACCTCACTTTCACACAATTCCTTTATTTTGGTGGACACTCACACAAGGCTACACTACACACTCAAGCTCTCAAGCTCACTTCTTGCTTGCTTGCTTGCTTAAATGAGAGCACAAGACCCCTATTTATAGTTGTTTAAGAGGGCTAGGAAGTGTGTAGAAGAGTTAATCCTAGCCATACATTACTAAGAAGTTTCTAGAAGAATAAATACTAGCCATACACTTGTATCTTCCTAGAAACTTCATGGTAGATATTTTGTAGGATGTTACTAGAAAGAAGTTCTAGAAAGTTGTTCTAGAATAATCTAAGTTGGTGAGGAATTCTAATAAATTCATGGTTAATCATATTCTATAGCAAAAACCAAGTAAAGGAAAAAAAAGATAAATTTAACTATTTGACAATTGGAAACGGGATGCTACTGAGAGAATCAACAATATAACCTTTATCCCAAAATTTTGGGGTTGGCTACATAAATCGTAATCCTCCAATTAGTTACTTTTAGAATTATCTCCTCCGTTAAGATAACCATCGTTATCCTAATCAATTGCTTCTAACCAAGTTTTTCTTAGGACACCAAGAGATTAAAAAAAAATCAGTTCAGATGTTGTATCACAAACTCTCAGCAAGAGAAGACGATTTTCTTTTCGCGAACAAATGCACTCATTGATTTACCTACAAATATAATTTATTATCCAGAGTAGACGATTTTCTTTTTGTGAACTCTTCAATACAGCAAAAGAAAACTGTAACAGGCTATGATTATTCCTGTGCTCTTATAAGTTTTTTGTGTTTAGCCTGAGTGATTATTCATGTGCTTGTATATGTTTCTGGGTTTAGTTTATGCAGATGCAGGGATTTTTTCTGTAGGAGATAAATGATCTAAGAATTTAGTCAATTCGCGAGTCTCAGCGAAACAAGTGAAGGAAGATTTGTCATTTTCAAATTCAGTAAAATTTTCAGTGCACTTTAAATAATTTACCATTTATTTGTTTGTTTATTTATCATTTTAGATGTTGGCGGCTGGTAGAGTGCTGAAAAAACACGGGTCTCATCCTTCTTTGATTTTGTAGAGTTGTTTCTTTGTTAGTTTCTGGTTAATTAGCGCATAAGTTATTTGAAAATATTTCACATTCCATATACTAAAGTTTCGTCAACATTTGATACCTAACGCTTTGTGTTTCTGTATGTGTAAATTTTGATCTCCCGAAAACAGGGAATGCTTGTTTGTATTTATAAGAAAGCTTATTACAAACTAACGAATCAAATGATTACAACAGAAGCAGAGGGAAAGCCCTCCTTGTTTAACGTGGGTTCCTCGGTGGCGATAGGACGCCTCGCTCGGTGCTCGTGCCGAGTCTGCTTCCCTTGGACGATCCGATCGAAGTTGCTGCCGGAGCCGGAGCTTCGGTTCTCAAATGAGGGGGCCTTTGGCAAAGGTCCAGGTTCAACCTTTGGGAGATTAGCCAGCAGAATATGCAACGGCCAATCCCCCCTTCATGCTGGCTGAAGATGGGTTTTAGTAGGCAAGGGATGACATGGGCCATCCCTTGATTCATGGGATTTGACCATGTGAGGGAGACAGCTTGACTGCTCCTTGAATTATGGGATGTGACCACATCTTCTTCAGAGACGTCTAGCTGCTCCTCGATACCACGAATGGTCATTCCAGGGATTGTGCTTTATGTCCTGTCACCTACGATGGGAAGGCCCATTCTTGTATATGAGGCAACGAACGACTGCTATCCGAGTGGATTTGACCAGCATTAATGAACCGCATTTATGAGTTCGCAGATCGATGAAGTGTCTGTCCGATCACTCGTACTGTGCGTGACCGCCCGGCGTGCTTTGAGCACGGTGCTTTCTCCTTTCCGGTCAGGAGAGGTGGTGAAGTAGGTGTACAGTACTGGAGTGGGTCTAGCCAGCTTGCCGAGTGCCGGCGGATCCAGCTCTTGGCTCAGACAGCCGATGTGAGTCGCATTTATGAATGCTCAGGTTGACTCGACATCTGTCCAGTCCTTCGCGCTGTGCGCACTGCGAGCGACCGTTTGACGGTCCTGGGGTACTGTGCTCTCTTCCTTCGGCTCGAGAGAGAGATGGGAAGGCCCATCTCAGCACGTGGGGTAGTGGATACCCAGCTGTACTGACGGTCTTGAGATTGCTGGCGGATTTGGGGATTGCAGGCAGACTTGGGGTCTGCAGGCGGATTTGATACTGCAGGCGGAGCTGGGGATTGCAGGCAGACTTGGGTCTGCAGGCGGGTTTGGGACTGCAGGCAGGCAGACTTGGGTCTGCAGGCGGATTTGATACTGCAGGCGATCTTCAAGCCGTTAGGCGAGCTCTATGGCATGGATCGAAGAATAGGCCGTAACTTTCAAACCGTAAGTCGGAATTGGACGAATTATATATGAAAATCGCCTATCTCGACGGGATGGGGCCATCCGAACCAAGCTGAAGGCTTTGGTTCGCTTCCTCCGTTTCGCCAAATTCCTTACGGTTTGGGAGATATCTGCGTTTTCCCCTTTTTCTGCTATTTCGGGCGAGGTTTTAGCAGTTTTGTTTTGAACTTCTCTGATAAGGATTAAATGCAATTTTTATTGCCTACAGTGTTGTTATCATTTCTCTCTTGTTTGTTTTTGGTTTGTTTTTGTTTTGGAGAATGTTTGTCTTCTTTGTTAGATTGTGCAAAATGTAGAAGATCGTATAGGATTATGACTAGCAAGATTCGCTTTTTTATGTGTTAACTTGAGCGTATCAGTTAAACAAAGAAATATAGATATTTTATTATCAGAGTATAAATTTTATCAGAACACTCGTACACCATTCATAGGAAGGGCAGAAGGCTGACTCGAATAACTCGCTCATATAGAATTATTCTCATAAATCTTGTGTTATCATGTGATTATGAACATTGAAGATACAACTTTTGCTCAGCTCAGAAATCAATGTCTAGAGCATGCTGATCTTTGCAAGGAAGACCACGATAGCACGATCCTTGTGCTAGCAAGTAGGATGAAGACCTCGTCGTCAGAGATTGGCCGAGTGGGTCCTGAAACTTTTCACTCTTAAATTTTTGTTAAATTTAATGTTAAAAACTACTATGATCCTATATTAATCCTATTTTAAAGTACGACCTTAATATGTTTGATATTAGATTTAACAAATATTAGGTGTTAAAATGTCAGCATGTGAGCATCGCATGTGAATTTTCACGAGGAAATTCTCATGCTTGTATAACTGCTGATTGAGGGTATTAAATTGGGAATTCAAAATTTTTTAGGGTTTACAAATACAAGTGCTTCCGAAAACAATTGAGGGTATCTAAGTGCAATTAAGCCTTAGTCAAACGAAAAGCAAATCTACTAGACAATTGCAACTAATTACTCATCCGCCACGTCATCCAATCCACGCCCACCACCCCCCGCTTCTCGAACCTCCTCCAGATTCCTCAGATCACTTAATCCCACTTCCACCTCTCAATGGCCTCGGCTCCCATCGCCGAACAATTCTAGGGTTGGGTTCTGACGGCAAGCTTCTCCAACTGCGTCCGAGCTGCAAAAGAACCATCGCCGGCGGCGCCAACGGATGCCCCGGTGCCGGAGCGATTCCCCCGGCGGGCGGCCCCTCCTCAGCCGACCTACGTCGCCTCCGACGCCCCGTCGCAGTCTTCCGAGTCCATGGAGGAGATGGAGAGGCGGTAGTGGCGCGTACGTTAGAAGACGCGTACGGTACCATGGGGAGAGGGGAGCTGCCGTGGACCGAGAAGGCCCTGCTAGGGCTTGCCGTTCTGACCCTGGTGCCGATCCGATTGGTGATCGGGATCTTGATTCTGCTGGTCTATTACTTGATCTGTCGGTGTTGCACGCTGTTTAAGACTCCGAATCGGGAGGACGAGCAGGAGGATTACGCCCATATGGATGGGTGGAGGCGAGAGGTTGTGATCCGATGCGGGCGCTTTGCGACGAGGGCGATGCTGTTCAACTTCGGGTTTTATTGGATTAAGGAGATTCGAAGGGACTTGCCGCACGGGGTATAGCTTCGAAAGCTTCAAATTTTGTAGCTTTTGCTTTGTTATTGCGTAGTAGCAAGTACGTAGGCCTTGAGCTTTTGGACAGATTGGAGTGAAACCTGAGATGGTTCGTTCTTTTCTTCGATTGTTGGCGTAATAAGGTTTTTATAATAATAGAACAATCATAACCCATAATCGAATACTAAATCATAGTTTAGGTCTCGAAAATTGTGGACAAGCCTATTAAGAGGATGTCAGATACCAGTGTAAATGTATTAAACTAGCTCAGTCGAGTAACTACCAACTATTACTCTTCTTTTATTCTCGTATTGGTTGATCAGGAAAACACCACTAATCAGGATATATGAACCGGATCACAAGTTGAGGCTAGTTATTGTTTATCACTTGATCAGGTCAATCAATGATGGGGGAGGAGGTGACACTGTACTTTTTATGAGGAGGGTTTATTGATAACTTTGAAAAATGAGGGGTTTATTGGGTTCAATTATGTGACAAAGAACTAATTGCTTTTCCTTGTGGGAAATTGTTACTTCGTAATAATCTTACAGTTTGCTGGACTACTTCTATGCATTCGTGGGTAGACAAGGGAAAAAACAACAGCTATTATTTCCTTATCCTGACTACTTGCTACTTGCCACAATGGCCCACGTTGAACTAAAATTGCTTTACCTATTGCTAGTGAGGGTTAATAAATTTTTAAGAAAAGTTAATAAATTTTTAAGAAAAGTAGCAAGTTTTGTAGAATTTCAGTACAATACTTGAGGTTAAGAAAAATTATTATCCTATTATGATCATTGGAATCTCACTAGAACCATG